ATGTATAGATATGCATTTACGCTTATATATACATATATATACAATCTGTATGCGTCTTCATTATTCGTATATACGTTACACTAGAATGATCTTTTTGTATACAATTGCTGCTATTCTGCTTAGATGCATCATTAGCACCTTTGGATATTAACATCATACTTATAATAATTGATATTCATCATTTTTTTTATTATTGAGTTTATAGTGAAATAACTGCCTAGTTTACGTAATTGTAGAATTTTGAAACATTATAAATCTTAATAGCAATGATAATACAAATGGGAAATCAGTTCATATGTTAAGATGAATGTTGTATTTCTATGAAACATAACCAATCTAATCTTATATGCCTAATTGTTCCATAATTTGTATTAGTAGATAGACAATATATTTTGATGTGGTTATCTGACTTTCTTTTTCTAATTTTTTTCCCGCTATCTAATAGCGGTGCTTAAGTCCGCTTCGTATATAACGATGGCGAATTGGTCGTGCCTAATAATATGGTATCATCTTAAACGTATGGCATGTTGCTCGCTTATATATATATATCATAAAATCGTTTTTAAAATATGTAGTCGACTTTAGGATCGTCAACACGTACTAATAATTTAATGTATATAATTTACAGCTATTTTAATTGGTGGGTGTTACGCCATTTTAAATTTTCGTGTAGTGGTACTTTTCTTATTCATTCTACAAGAAATTTGTGTTCTAACATTTCATTGGTGAATAACATCTGTGTTCATAACATGTATATAATGTATTCAACATATTAACCAAATGATAGAATGATACACACATGCGCGCACACACACACACACACACACATATATGTATATATATATGTATGTATGTATATATATATATATATATTTATATATATATATATATATATATATATATATATATATATATATATATATATATATATATATATGAGTATGGGAAGGGTCAAATTGTATGGTGCTGAAGAAATATAAAGAAAATCAGGTTAATTTGTAGGAAATTTGATGAAACTTAGCATGTTTTTTTATAGTTCAAAACGAATAGCTTAAAACATCATAGGCTTATGAGAAGTAGTTTAACTATTTTTGAAAAATAGGCTGTACGCTCTACATTAGGCCTGCAGTGTGTAATATTGAAATAATATTTTGAACCACTTCTTATAGACCTATAATATTTAAAGGGGTTTGTTTGGACTATCAAGCCATAACAATGTGATGCAGATTTCTATTTGAGTAAACCTGATGTTTTTGTAAGTTTATATTTTAATACATAGATATTTATTGAAAATTTCGCTGGCCGAGCTAGGTTTTCAATTCAGAAATGATTCATACAACTAGAATCGTAAAGTGCTACAAAAATTGGACCCACCCTATTATATATACATATATATATATAATATATATATATATATATATATATATATATATATATGAATTTGAAAGTTTATACGTATAGGTTCTTATGTGTTTATGTGTATGAGGTGTTCATAAAGTACGGAAATCGTTTCAGCGTAATTTGAAGTGGATTGGCAAGTTTAATTGAAAGTTGGCGCATCAGAATTGTAAAATGGTTAAATACTTGATAATTTTATTTTCGAGTAAAAAAGTAAAATACTTGGTTTAGGCTTGATGTTAAGGTCTGGGACACCATGCATATGTTATATGTATATATATATATATATATATTATATATATTATATATATATATATATATATATATATATAATTTTTGTGTGTTTATTCATTTATTTGTTTATTAGAGCTCGTGTTAACATATTAAAGGTAGGGCTGACAGCTTTTATTCAACTCCAGCCTAGATTTGACACAAATTTCCATAAATTGCCATCGGCAAACTCAAGAATTAATTGGTAGTTCTTTTTATTTGATGATTTTATTGTAAATAATAAAGTTTCGAAAACCAGTCATAAAATAAATACAGTACATTCAGTCATTGTATGGCACCTAAAATGGTAAAACTTTCATATTGGGAGAAATCGAAAAGAATATTTTCATATTTTAAACTATCCATCTTAACTTAAACGTATGTGAAAAAGGGTGTTAGGTTAGAACTGCAGGTAGTGATTTAAAGTAATTTATAATTTTATATTTATATACTGTGTGTGTATGTACATATGTAAATACAAATTAAAGGCGGGTAATTCAACAAGTACTTAGCCTACAAATGAAAAACATCTTCAACGATGCGCTCCAACTTTTCAACCTGTCCAAAAAAGAAGTTTTCTCGAGAGCTGTAAAATAACCCGAAAGTTGCTGTGAGACAAAGTACTTGTTGAATGACTCCGATATATATATATATATATATATATATATATATATATACATACATATATACTGCCCTTCGTTAACATGGTACTCTGGAAACACGGAGCAGAAAATGCGACATCTCTCGATAACACGAGTTCCTTCCGCGCAACCTATGCATGACTCTACTAAACTTTTTTTTTAAGAAAACCTACTTGAAAATTTTTTTGTTAGAAATCATTTATTAAGTTTATCTTTTGTTTCATTATTTTTTTTATCGTATAAACTCTTCGCTTCAATAAATACAATTTATAGTTTTCGATGGCCTTTTTGGCCTTTTTATAGCATTTAACCACTTAAAATTCTTATCAACTATCAATAATTTGTTAAGTCTATATCATTTTTATATTTGTATACGGTTTTCGATTCGGATATGCTCGCCGTCAAATCGTTTTCTTCCTTTTATTACTTGATATGTAGCCCTTGTATCGTTTTATGGGAACATTTTTCACATTCAACATGTTTTATAAAATATTCCAGTAATCATGTCATAAGAACAAATTGTATATAGATGAGGAACTTAAATATGTTTTTAACAATGTTATCTATTTCGATATATACCCCAGTCGCATGGACATACTTTTTATATTTTCTCGCGTATTTCAGCTCAAGTCAGTATTGCAAAGTATTCAAAAAACTGGAAGCATTCATCGTCAAACGAACGCCATATTAGCTTTGAAGGAAATAATAAAATATGGAATTTATCTCCATCTTTAGAAATCAATGAAAATCAGACGGAGCTCTTATCCGACAGTGAAGAGTTTGATTCCGTGTCAAAATCGGTTTTGGGTGGTATATCCCCTATATTCGCACCTTTGACTGATCGTTCTAAATATGAAAAATTAACGCTAAATACTGATGATCAATCTTCCGATGATAGCAGCATAATGCCGGATTCCAAGGTAGAAGCGGGGTTAGGAAAATCAAGACATCGATTAAAGAAAAATGTGGTTTCCAACATTCCAGAAAAATTGCAATCTGTTTATAATAAAGTGGATAAGAGTACAATACCGGTAGTGAGACGTCTTGCAGATAAAAAAAATAATTCAAAAAATTTGGCTAATAAATCTACCAAAGCTGAAAGTCCTGTCAGCAGAAATGATGGCGTTGATATAGATTCTGATGATTCCATAGGTTCAGCAAGTGATCTGACCGCCGTAGAACAAGGAATTAAAAAAACGGTAGTTGGCTTTTTTGTCAAAAATGAAGATGGTGATGAGACAATAAGTCAAAGTAATAAAACATGCGGTTCTTCGGCATATCACGCAGAATGTGAAAGTGTCACGACTAATGAGGATGATGGCATGAGTCGATCTGTCGTCAGAAAATGCAAAACTAGACGCCAAAGACAATTAATAGATAATACAACTAATAAGTTAATTCTCGAGGAAAGCTCTAATCATTTCACTGGATATGAGTGTGGCAACGAGCCACTTTTGTTGGACGAGTCTGATGATGAAAGAGAAGAACACCATAAAAAGTCTGATCTTTGGTCCGATGTTAAATTTTCTTTAAATGATTCAGATGTTGCTGAAGAAGCGGGCGACGTGTTCGCATTAGCCCCATTTGCTAAGCCTGAAAAATTAAAGCCTATTACACACACTTCTATTCCGAATATTAACGAAAATCCATTTTCAAACGAAAACAAAGATTTGTCTATTTTAGAACCACAAAAACAAGAGATTAGCACTGATCTATTTATACCTACAAATAAATATCCAGAAAATTTGACCTACAATGAAGTAAGTGTTGAATGTAATGCTATGAAAGTAGAAAGCGACGATTCATTGTACGATGCATTCCTTCCGACATCAACAGATAAATCTAGCGTTAATTTCAATAAGTATAATACATCATTGGAAAAGATTCAATGTGAAATAGAACACAACAGTCAGGACGCTTTTGTGCAAATCGAAAGCAGTTCTCACAACTGCGATTTGTTTGGATCACAACCATTCTGTGAGGGTTTAAATAGTGATTACTCAAATTCTCAGACAATTGCGAATTTATCGGAAACGCACCCGAACATACAAAATGAAATAAATCATATCAATATGAATGCAAATAAAGTTACATCAACTGAAAATGCACATTTATTTTGTGATGAACTAGATGATCACAAGGAATCGTTTTTTGATAATCGAATTTATGGAAACGTCATATTTCCATCAACTGTAAATCGATATTCTGATATGTCATTTCAAATACACAATATGCCTATACGTCTTAAGTTAGGTCATTCTAAACTAACTAATAGTGATGTGCACGATTCTTCAAAATCGCGCAGGAAGGATTTCCTGTCTAGTGATCCATCGCAGATTGTAAAAAGCGAAGATAACTCTGCTGAAACAGCAGAAAAGGTTAGCAAACAGAAGAAGGATAAGAAAATTAAATCTAAATATCAGCATCTTTTAGACAAGAAAAGTAATAAAGAAGACCTTCCGTTCCATACTAAATTTGAGCAAAAATTAACAAAGGGGGCTCTTGGCTACAAAAAGGTTTCATCTAAGAATAAAAAGTCAAATGATAAATCTTCTTCTCAAACAGGTTTCAGCAATATGAGCTTTGAAGATATACCTCAAGATCCAGATATGGATTTTTAATTATATTACTTTTTATGGAAAATTCTGACGTGACCACAATGTATCTCATGTATATTTGTTTATATTCTTTGGAGTTCTATTTAAAAGTAAGTTACCATAAAGTATTTATCTTCGTACATTTCTATTATTTTATGAGCATTTTTATAGTTTAAAAATGTTAGTGTATTATACTGAAAAAAACTTATGTAGTAATATGTAAGCATTTCAGCAGTCATAATTTTTCTTCATATATTATTCTATTTAAAGACGGTGGGATTGGCTTTATTACATATTACAAAAATGATCAATTACGAATTTTGTTACTTTTGGGCACTTTATATAATAAAGCGTATAGCAACTCAATATTTTAAATATTATTCAATCGTATTATTATTCAATTATACGATAATGATTAATTATTTACATAACGTAATTATGCAAACTGAAGATTTTTTTATATATAATATTTTGTTATATAATATCAAAGTTATTCAAAATTTGAACTGTTACGTTAATAATTTCAAAAATTAAATTTTAGAATGATTTGTTTTGCTTTCTTTTATATTGGATTATTGTAATTGATGTTATTAATCGGTATTTGTTTATCAATTTTTCTCGATTTTTGGCAATACAGAGAGAAAAGTTACACATCCAATATATGTTTATATGCATATACATGCACAAAGAATTCAGCACAGTATTTATGTAGTTTGGCGCAAAAACTATTTTTGGCGCTTTGTCAATGTATTTATAAAATTTCTTACATTTTTATATTTTTTAAAAAGAATATGTATTTTAGTTATAAGTATTTTTGCAACTATTAAATTAACTATGAAGTTTTAGAAATTAGTCTGTGATAGTAGTTGTAATCATTCCATCCTAAACATTTATGAGATTTGCGATGCAATTTAGTGATATTGGCTAACATAAGAAAACTATATTTTCTGTTAAGTTTAACACTGTACTGCCGTTTTACGGATGTATTAGTCCTTTATTAAATGAAGATAGATTGTATTGACATGTGTTGAATATGTATTATTTATTTAAATGTTTTATTTTTACTAATTCTTTAACGGAATGTATGATGCTATGTCATTATCGTGGATATCATGTGTACACTTAAATATCATGTCGGCGATAAATTATGGTGGTTGAGAATAACTTTATGTATATATCCCGATTGCGTACTTAATTCGTTCCGGGAGAAAGTTTGTTGTACGAATAGTTCGCAACGCGAAACGCTTTTTGCCATACAAATACATGAAAATAAAACTAGTTCGTTCTGTAGTTCGAAATGTGATCATAAAAAATGAGATATATTTTACATATAATTAAGACATTTAAAAAAATATTACTTATTTACGAAATAAGTTATTATCAGAGTCGTACTGCTTTCGTTTGTGCCCTTTTAGCTTCTGAATTTTTAAAGAAACTGTTTATAGTTTTTTTCCAACAAGTGTATTTTCACAGCAGGGTAAAAATTTCTGAAAGCTGTTTTTTTTACTACAAATGACAAAGATTTAGCACGTTGTGTGAAGCAAAGTTCGTCGTGTGGAACGTTCGAGACTGAAAAAAAGGTTTGTTATGCGCATCGTCTATTATGATGCGAGGCGTACGTTATGCGGGGTATAACTGTATATATATATATATATATATATATATATATATATATATATATATAATATATATATTGGTGATGCCCAATCTGAATGTGACGTCGTAAACTAGCAAATGAATATTTTTATATATACGATAGTAGGTACAAAAGAAAAGCTATTGTTTAGTACTGCAATACTTGTGAGTAAAATGTAATAGCAATTTTTGTATTATTTTTAGGTTTTCATTTTTTACTCGCTTTTTTAAATATGAGCTAACAAGTATTGTAAATTTTTGCAATCATGATTAAAAGCGCGAACTTTTAATGGAACAATTTTGATATTATTTTTGACTGTGGTCGTATATATATAATATATATATAGAAAACGTTATTTTGTTTCACAGTTTAAATGGAGAAAAATGCTTGTAGTATGATCAAAGCTCTAGTTAGAGCTTTACGTACAACCTAGGTTGTACTTAAAAATTTATAACTTTTATGATAATTACAATCAATACCACGTTCCTGCTTGACGTTTAGTTCCGGAACACCCTGTATATGTACTATACTTTAAATACTAATTCGATCAACACTGTTAAATGCGAATAAATCAATCCATTTCTACCAGTAGAAATATTTTAAATGCGAGGGTTATGTAAAAAGTAACTTTCCATTTTTCACGAGTGTACAATATGGTTTATTAATGTATTATCACACATCATTGGAAATGTCGATTCTATGTTTATTTTTCAACATAATCATCTTCTCTGTCAATACATTTTTTAAGTCTAAAAGATATTTTAATCGAGTTTTGGTATCCGGCCGCGAAGGACTCCTCCGCCAGCCCCGTTCAGGTAGTTGATGGCAGCTGTTTTCACTTCCTCGTCACTGCTGAATTTCCGCTTAATGTTCCTTTAACTTTGGAAAAAGTTGAAAATAACCCGAAATGGTTTAAAGTGGTGGCGGAAGATTTTTTCTCTGCAGGCTACCAAAACTGGATTGAAAGGCTAAAAAAATGTAATAACACAGAAGGTGGTTATGTTAAAAAATGGTGAAAGAGGTATTTCCAATGAGGTATAGTAATAAACCATGTTGTACACTCGAAAAAAATTGGGAAAGTTACTTTTTAAATAACCCTCGTAGGTTAATTCAGCAAATGAACATTGATATATACATATATGCAATATTTTTGGTAAAATTACTCAGTATCACCAGATTAGATTCATTGTTGAAAGAAAATAATTAAATAAATTTGTTGCTCATTATGTTATTCTACTGTGATTCATATAGTTGATTCAATATGAAATGGATTGATATATAAGAAATCGGAGATGAACGAAACTCATTATATGAAAACGCACATCATAATGAAAACTGTATTTTGGACTTCTTTACTGTATTGTTTTGTGTGATATTCTTAATAATGTTTTATAGACACTTTTATTTAATATCTAATTATTTTTAACTGGTTTTTAAATAAATTAATAATATATATATATATATATATATATATATATTATATATGTATATATATATTTAATATAAAACGTGCATTTGAATTTATTACACGCTCGGTATTAAATAATACTAAATATTGCTGCATATGATATGTTCTGATTTATATTTTGTATATTTACTTTATTGAAGTTTATTTGGGCTCGCTCGAACGTAAGCGGTTGAGACGGGTCTTGATTCAGAGGACCAGGTAAAAGACCAGCTCGCCCGAAGGTAAGCGGTTAAGACATGAAAATTTTTTCCCCAAAAAGTGAGTGAAAAATGTTATTATTTTTGACAGGTTTGAAATGAGTGAAAAAACATGGAAAATGTCGATTTTTTCCAAAAAATTCTCTTTCAAATTTTTTTTTTCCAATTTTTTTCTCCAAAGAATTTGTTTTTCCAATTATTTTCTGAAAAAGTCAAAGTCCATGACAAAAACACAAGAAAGATTGCAGTGAAAAACTTTAATATTTTTGACATGTTTAAAATGAGTGAAAAAAACATGGAAAAAAATTCTTCGAAAAAAAAAAATGTTTTTCAAATTTTTTTTTTCTCAAAGTTTTTTTTCCAAAAAAATGTTTCTCGAATTTTTTTTTCTGATTTTGTGCTGAACCCAATGACATGATCACCGTAATTTTTATATAAATCTCAATGGTGACATGGTACATGGAATAATTCAATATAAGTAGTACAGCAGGGGGACAAACATTTTTTTGCCCAAAATTGTTTTGACAAATTTTTTTTTGCCCAAAATTATTTACTCAAATTTTCTTTTCAAAAAATTTTTTTGACCAAACTTTTTTTGAACAAAATTTTTTGACCAAAAATTTTTTTCCCAAATTTTTTTTGACCAAAAATTTTTTTCCCAGAATTTTTTTGACCAAAAATTTTTGGACCAAAACTTTTTTAGGAAAGGATCTGACTAACATTTTCCTAGCTGTACTGCACGTCGTGTGCCTTTGATGAATCGAAATTTTCAAGTTAGCAATGGTTGCAATGGTAACCGCGACAAAAAAATTTTGTCAAAAAAGTTTTGGTCCAAAAATTTTTGGTCAAAAAAATTCTGGGAAAAAAATTTTTGGTCAAAAAAAATTTGGGAACAAAATTTGGGCAAAAAAAATTTTACAAAAAAATTGTTTGTCAAAAAACTTTTTGGAAAGGATCTGATTAAATTTTCCATTCAATAGCACGTCGTGTGCTATTGATGAATTGAAATTTTCAAGTTAGCAACGGTTGCTATGGTAACAGTCGTTAACATAAAATTACCCATACGTTTCTTTAATCAAAATGAAACAATTATTTATTAATTAATATTATTATTGTATTACTATTTGAAATAAATAATTAGGTACGGTGCAAATAATTACTTATCATTAGTAGCTACAAAGTGTAAGTAAATATTATTGTTATTCATATTGATTTAATTGAAAGTTCCATGCGAGCAACGGTAACCATGGATTTGTCAAAAAAAATTTTAGAAAAAAAAAATTTTGGTCAAAAAATTTTGTTCAAAAAAAATTTGGTCAAAAGAATTTTTTGGAAAAAAAATTGAGTAAAGAATTTTGGGCAAAAAATTTTTTGGCCAAAAAAGTTTTGGTCAAAAAAATTCTGGGAAAAAAATTTTTGGTCAAAAAATTTTGTTCAAAAAAAATTTGGTCAAAAAAATTTTGGTTAGAATTTTTTGGAAAGAAAATTTGAGTAAAAAATTTTTTTGACCAAAAATTTTTTTCTCAAAATTTTTTTCTCAAAATTTTTTTGATCAAAAGTTTTTTGACCAAAAGTTTTTTGACCAAAATTTTTTTGACCAAAAATTTTTTTCCCAAAATTTTTGGACCAAAATTTTTTTGAGAAAAAAAGTAAAAAATAATTTTACTAAAAATTTTGTGTTAGAGGTTAACGGTTAAAAATTTTTTTGACCAAAAATTTTTTGACCAAAAATTTTTTGATCAAAATTTTTGACCAAAATTTTTTTGACCAAAAATTTTTTTGACCAAAATTTT